CGGGGCCGGCGGCGGCCGGAGCGGGCGGGGAAAGGGCCCGCCGGAGCCCCAACCGCAGCAAGGGGGGGGGTCTCCTCCGGCCCCCGCAGGCGCGGACCGGCTGCCCTGAGCAGGGCAGCGGGGGGCTGGCCCTGTACGCCCAGGCTTGAGCCCCCCCCCCCCCCGGGGGTTTAAGGGCCGTTCAACACCGCCCCCCCAGCCCCGGTAACGGGGGATGGGCCGCGGCGGCGGAGGAACGATTCATACTCGTGGGGACGGCGTCTGGCTCCGTAGGAGACACTGACCACAGCTCTGCCCGGGACAGCCGACGCAACTTTCAAGGGCCAGCGGGTATCTCGCTGCGCCCAAATTCAACGCCTGCAGGTGAAGCAACGTACCAGCTCCAGAGTCACCGGCCCAAACGTGGCTTAGCCCGTTTTTGGGCTCCACCACGTTCTGCTGAGCGCCGTAGAGCCACGGAGCCTAAAGGACGAAGCTCCGTGCGGGCCGGGCAGGAGCGAAGAAGCGACGGTTGGGTGCAGGCAGAAGACCGGGCAGCGGGAGGGAGCAAGGAGGCCCTGCTTCACACCTCTGCTGTGAAGGTTTCTGCAGATGTCGCGACCAAAGGAAGAGCTTCGAGGAGGGCGATGCGGTAGCTGTGCAGATGCTCAGAGGCTGCTTCTCCCAGGTGTGCGGCAGAGCACGAGAGAGCATGAAGGGGCTTGTTGAAAATGGGCGACGGAGACGGCCTCTGTTGCGTGGGAGAGGATGGCTGGAGGTGGATAATGAAGGGCTGGGAGAGGGAAGATGAACAGTCCACAATCGGGGCAGAGGAAAGAGGGTGCCAGGGAGGAGCGTGGGGAGGAATGATGTGGTCTAAGCCACGGGCCAGCACAACAATTTTTGCAGCAGCCCTCTGGATACAAACCAGCAGATCAAGGAAACCTTTGCAAGGCGTGGACATTGGTTGGGAAGTAGGAATCCATGGAGAGATGATGATGAGCCCTCAAATCACGAGCAGACAGGCTGGACGACGCCAGTTTTACCTTCAAACCAATTTTCTGGCAATCATCTCTTCTCTGGCACCCCAGCTGGTCTCCGGGACCTCTGTGGGTCCATGTCTGCTCAATGTCTGCCCGGGATGGGCCTGGTTGCCAGCTCCATCTTTGGATGTCCCTTATGCCCTGTGGAGTGAAAGAAATTTCCAAAATTGAGAAGGATCCAGAAGTTGTCCAAGGTTAAAAAAAAATCCCAGCTATGTTATGTCTCCAGGGCTGTGTTCATACGTTCAGCAAGTTATGAAAACCAGCTCTTTGGGCTGGTTCATTGACTGGCAGGAATTAGAGAGCTAAGTCACTGTAGGGTTGGCAATTAGCTGCTGTGTAAGTGTTTTTGTAGAATCAAATTTCCAGCACGAGGGGAAGAGAAAAGCATTTGTAAAGCAAGCCACCCCCTCGGCACAGGAGCTGGGCAGGCGGGGGGAGAGCTGCAGCTTCTACACTTCTGAGGAGAGGGATTGTGCCTCAAACACAACTTTGGTCTCCTATTCTGAGCAGTAACACCCCCAAATCCTTCCTCCCACGGTGCCAGGGACCTCGCCTGCCCCGGGAGCTGTGCTGTGCAGTTCTGCTTTCAGCTGGAACAGCAGCATTTTAGATTCAGCATTTGCCTGTCTTTTGCCCACTAATAGGAGAGGGGGCCAAGCAGTTGTAAAACCAGAAGACTATAACTGGAAAGCCCCTGCCTCAGCAGCACCTGCGTTTTTTCCTTTTCCCAGCCACGCATCCTGAGGGAGCAGGGTCCCCTTCCCCGTGCAGCCCCATCCCACCTAGCCATGAGCAGTTGTGGGGAAACAGAGGTCTTAAAGACATGAGAAAAAAGGCAGGAGGGGACAAAAGGGTGACCTCAGGGAGCTCCTCACTGCGAGGAAACCCCTGGGCACGTGAGCACGGTCAAGCCCATCAGTGCGTGGGGCTGGGGCTACCACACCACGGGCTCCTCTTCCCTCCTTGGTTGTCCCTGGCCATAGGAAGAAGCTAGGCATGTGCTGGGGGGAGGAGAGGACAGATTTGCAGGGAGCGCAGGGAATGCCAGACCTCCAGCCATAAGAAATCGAGGTTCATTAGTTCCACTACGCGCAGAACAAGTTGCTGAAGGAGCCTGGGTTTCAAGCTGAGAGCGTCCCTTTAAGCTGTGTCTGGGGGACCCTTTGATTTGGTTAATTAGACGCAAAGTTTTTCTGTGCTGTGGGAGGCCGGGTATGTGCTGAGGAGCACAGCTACCCTGGGTTTACTAATGAGATAATTTATTGTGGCTGTCTGAGAGGCTGAGTGTACACAACTCCACCCGCACACACACCACCCACTCCAAGCCCTCTGCTCCCAGCTGGAGAGTCCTCAGCACTGGAGGTGGAAGTACTGTGTTAGGTCTCCCTGTGCAGAGCCCTGCCGAGGAGCCATCCTTCACTCGGGGAACTTGTGCAGCAGGGCACCGTTTGCATCTAAATATCCCCACAACAGTTTTTACTGCTTCCCTAGCCAAACTTCCTAATTCCCCTGTTTTTCAGCTTAAATTTGATCTTTGATTCAATCAAGTAGCTGCGTTTCTGCCTCTCTTTCTCCCCCTGCTCCAGAAGATCCCTCCTTACATAGTTCAAGTGTTAGGGCTTGCCTACACTTGAAGGTTGACTCTGGATTAAGGGACATATAAATCTGAAAGACAGTAACTAATTCCTGAATAATTCTGGAAAGATTTACTCAAAACCAGTCATTTCTGAATAACTTGGTGCGCTGGCCGGCTTGTACATTCCCTCCTGTTAGCAGCAGGATCAGGTAAGACAAGGCTTGTAAAAAGCAGGTCTATTTTTTTCAACTGCTTTCTCCCCGGTGCTCTAAAAGCAGGTAATAATCTCCCCCTTCAGAGTCTGCCTCACTTAAATCCTCACGCTGTCACAGCCGAAATATGGCTACAAAGAGATCTAGGAATTCCCCAACCGTTTGGATCACAAGGGGTTATTTCAGAGGTAAGGAATGCAATACCGGGCCTCCCTGGGTCTCCTACCTGTCTCTGCCCCTCCATCATCGGATGACAGAGCGCATGTCTGTCTGTGCCAGGCTGCACCTTCACAGGGTGTTTGCGTAGGGGAACAGTGCCACCCACAAGTGGCCTGTTTCCACAGAAGCCTTCTCCACGCAGCCATGCCACGCTGCGGCACGTCCGTCCCTGCTACGGGCCACCACCAGCAGGTAGCCATCTGGAGATGCTGATGGAGTCTCCTGCCTCCCGAGCTGCAGGTTTGCGCTTGGAGAACCCTAATTATTGCATGCAGGGGCAGATCTGGGCAGTGCTCTGGGTGTACCTGAATTTAAGTTATTTAGGTTAACAGCAAATTGCACGGGATGGTTGCTCGGGGATCTGGGCAAACTATTCAAAGCAGAAGAAAGCTTCTGATGAATTAGCCAATATTTTTGTTTGTGGACATTCCCCCCCTAAAAAAGAAACAAAACCTCCAGTTCTTACCAATGTGTTTGCTACTCAAAATTACTCCATGAATCGTTTATGACTGAATGTATTGCAGTCAGTGGGTTTCTTGTGTCCTGCTTTTATCTTCATCTTTGAGCTCTGGCTAGTCCTAATTTTGTTTGTGCCTAGTGGCTGATTTCAGTCTCCCAAGTCCATACAGAGCTTTCAGGTCAGATGTAAATATGCAAGCACTACTTTTTTAGCCTATAAAGTTTTTTGCAAGCAGAAGTTGCAACTAACAAATAATATAAAAAAAAAACAAACACCAAAACCAAGCAAGTTGCTACCACTAAAAGGAATTCACAGATTTTTTCCTAAGCAAAGGGGCACGTTTTCTGCAGTCCTGCCTCACCGCCATTCCCCCAAGGGATAACAAAGCAGTAGCGTCACAGGCAGGTGATACTCAATGGCATCGCCACTGCTGTGTGGCACATATAGCCCTATCTCACGCTGGATGCCACGGGCTTTGAGCACACTCTCCCCACACATACTTCTTGCTGTCTGCATCCTTCCTCAGTCTCTTTTTAGCCAAACTATAATACTGTGAAATGAAGTCACTATCCTGCAAGAGTCAGAGATGAGAAAAGGGAGGAAGAAAAAACTGCGGCGTCTAACTGGAGGAGCCGCAGATGGCTAGACGTGACTGCGAGGGAAGGGAAGGCAGCACTGCAGAGTGCCGTTTCAGCTTTCAAGTCTTGTGCTCCCAGGATCTACATGCCATTTCTTGGATGTGGTTTGCCCCGAGGGCAATCTCAACAGCTGTGAAGTTTCAGCAGATGAACAATGTAGTTTTCAATAAATTTCACAAAGCAAACTAAAGGATTTTAACTCATTCATGCTAGCCCACTTTTGGTCTGAAGGCTTTTCTGGACCTGAATCCATTCACATCACGAGTGTTTCCCATTTGAAGCCCAGGGCCTGACTGCTGGAGCACACCTGAGCTAGACTGCTCTGCTCCGGCTTTCTGGACAGCTCTTCCCCGTCAGAAGAGGCTTCTCTCAGCCATGCCCATGGGTCCTGGGAGGTGTAGGTGCACCTCTGCATTTACCTGTGCCACTTAAACCCACCCTGGTGACCCACAGGTGG